ACTTTATCACATCCGTGATGCAGTGATCCCAAGTTAATTTAAGACAGTAGTAACTGTTTAAACGTTTACCATATAAATCCAAATGGAAAACGGATGAAAAATAAGTCAAAAAGCAGGAATAAGTTTATCAAAACGAAACACGCAAGAACGTTCTGAAAATTTTCTTTGTTATGAAGAAGCTGCACGCTGATTGATCGGTAATGATCACGTGCAAGCAGGACACTTTCTGATTGGCTATTAAACTACATAATAAATTAACAGAAAAGCAAAGTGGCGTTTAATTACCGAAATGATAACTTGCGTTTAAGAAAGGAGATTAGCCACAATGACATAAAAGATTTTATCTGGCTATAAAATATATTTAGATTCCACACCTGTCATAGCTGTCTGTTGGCAATAATTTTGTTAAATTTGTTATGTTAATGTGTTATTTTTTTTTTTAGAAATTTAAACATAAAGTACACAGTTACTTTTGTCGATGCTGCCTTGTTATCAGGTATCTTGCTTGTTCAATACATAATTATTAGCGTTCAACATGCCCACGCTCCCTAGCACTTGCTTAAGCATAATTCGACATTTCATCCTGATTATGGCGCAGTCTTGATAATTTAGAAATATTCAAAGCGGTGCTACTTATCTAAAACATACTGTTTTATTTCAGTGATTTCTGTACTGACTTGGGGAAGTAAACGTTGTTAGAAATTGTCTTTCATATAGAAACGGTTGTCTTTCTTGATGCAAAGATGAGAGTGATCAACATAAGTCTTCCTGAAAAATATACTGTTGGTCTCACTTTAGTTTTGATATGCATCATGTGAAATTAGATTAAGGCTTTTCTAGTATTTATAGATACTAGCAGAACGAAATCGGACCTTTGTCAAATTTAATTATTTTTTAATCGTTGCGTCTGCAATATGTCGGACCCAAGGAACAAAATGCCTTAAAAATTGAACGTTTGGGATTGCCCCTTAGCTGATAATAGCTAGTAAAAACCAAAAATGCTTTCAGGCAAAACATTCAAAACAAGTGGCAAGTGGTCGATGTTAAACAAAAGCCAAAGGAGGAAAACGATTAAGGGTTACCAATAATGGCCCTTATACATATATGTGTTGAAATGTGTTTGTTTTTAGAGAGTGGAGAACCCGGATTCGCATTTTTACATGAGGTTGCTAATTGCATTGCCTTGTTTTGTGCTTATAAAAATAAATCATATCCATTAATGTTGTTGAAAAAAATATTAAGAGGAAATGTTGACTTTTTTGTCTTTTTTCATATGCATTATCGTATTATATATTTTTCCTAAAGAAAATCTACAAAACGCATCCATTCGAAATTCGTTGTTGATTTTGCTTTTTTTGTTTTGCTTTTTGTTTTGCTTTCGGTGTCTTTCTCTCTTAGAAATGAGTCAGGAAAATTACGATCCCTTTTAGTCAGGAGGGTAGAATCACATTTCGATTTTCTTAAAATGAGGTTTGAATTTTACAACTGTTTAGAAGTTAAAAACAATTATGCTCTTATCTGTAGCAGCAGAAATTCAAATATACTTTTACCTATGTTTATGTTTGAGATCCATATAGGACTCAACCCCGTGTAAAAGAAGATTTTTTAAATTTTTACTATATACATGTGTACAAGGAAAATCATTGACCCCCTTGCGGGCCAATTTGATCCAAAAACACTAGCAATTTGGGTTTGTTAAAGAAGATTTTTTATAAGTTTCTTCTATAAACATAGGATTATCAATGACGCTCCGGGGCTTGAACAATTTAAACACCACAGTTTTTATTTGAACAAACTTGGTATACACTTACTAGAAAATGTCATGCCAAAATATAAGCTCTAGCTCTTTGAGTTTTTCAAAAGAAGATTTTATTTTAGTTTTGTACTATAAGGAAAATCAATGATCCTCCGTGGTGGGGCCAATGTTGACTCAGGGGCTTAAAAACAAACTTGAGAGACACTTCCTTGAAGATGTTTCATACTTAATAGCTAAGCTCTAGCTATTTGGGTTAAATTTTTTTTTAAAGTAGATTTTTTAAGTTGTTTCGTTCTTTCTAGTAAAAGTTTACGGAAGGACGGACGAGGGATGACCGGACGCCTGACGAATTGTGATAAACAAAACCTCACCTTGTCATTTTAATGACAGGTGCTTAAAGCACGCAGCATGTCGTAAGGCTGATTATACAGTAGTCATGTAAGGGACACTTGTGCTATCATGTAGGAAAAAGTAATTATGATGTTGTGCTGAACAATCTTCAACAATCGGATATATAATAGTTTTGTTTAAATGTACGGCCTCAACACGTCACAACAAACGCTTAAAATAGAGGAAAAAGACAAAATTAAAAAATGTTGCTGGGTCAGTTGATTGAGTCTGATCATTGACGCCAACCTTTTGGATTTATTTATGAGATTATTCTCATTGTCAAAATAAACAGAACAATAGTTATACATTGAATAATCCTTTATTTCTTATAACATAATCTATATTTCACAGATAACATTTAACTGGTCTCAACAGTTAACATCATTTTTTCCATTTAAGTCTATAAATATTGAAATATATGACGCAAATTTTGTAAGTATGAATTCTACGATGTTCGAAAGGCCTTGATCCTAGTCGGAAAATAGGAAATGCATTCTAACTATGTTCTTTTACAAATGACGTTGTACGTCCTGTTACAGGCAATATCGTTCCATTTATACTGAAACTCTGCAAGGAATACGGCACAGTTTTCAGCACCATAAGCACCATCATTGTCGGGCTGTTTATCATTCCAGACTGAAAATATGAAAACATCGGCTGTGAACTATATACTAACATGAACGATATATATTTAGAATTGACCTTGCTTAAGAGTATGTTGTACGTATCTTAAAATTGGTTACAAAAAAATATGCATTTAACAATGCAGACACGGTATTTTCGTGCATGTATATTACGGACAATGAACATGGCATCCACTGAAATGCATTTCTGAAGCTGATGTTTCAAATACATATTAATTGTTAAAAAAGTGTTTCTCACAAATATTTGAATCCATTTTGGCAATATTATTTTTCTCCAATTTTCGAAAAGATGTTTAAGTATCAAAAACTCATATTTTTAAAATTGACTAGCTTTTGAGTAATAAATATCATAATATAATTAATAACCTGATATGTACCCAGGGTTTGGGAATAATCATTGGTTGACATTGTTTATGGATTTGCGTAACTTTGGCAAAACTAATACTTACGCTTATTTCAAAAGTAATATCAAATCTTAAAGATGATAGAACATGAAAAACATTCAAGAAAAAATAGTAATTATTTTACACGTAAAGTTGACTTTTTGGTTTAAGTCTGACCATTCCCAGTTTCCCTCAGTAACAGAATCCGTCATACCCAACCACCAGCCGGTGTCAGAATCTGCAATATAATTCTAACTGTCACATATGTCTTAAACAGGAAATAAATACCAATAATTATAATAATTAAATTGTAACTCTAAAAACGCGAAAAACAGAAACCAAAAAGAATGCCGAAAAAGCAATATTAAACGAAACGGCGAAATAAAAAAATGTCACATGAGTCTGTTGATGGACGGTAGTGGTAATTTTATTATATTACCAACATCCCATAGCACAGGCGTAAGAAAAAAAATCTACGTTAAATTACGAATATGATAAACAAGATCAAAAAGGTAAGGCGGTGTTCAATGAACGTAACCAACATACGACCCAGCAACAAGAACCAGTGACAAGGAGCCCAGGCGGACCCCAAACAAAAACAGGACAGGGCACAAGACAAAACACGGACAGGTCAACCGCCAAAACGACAAATAATTTTTAACTTATAAGGAATTAAAAAAAACAAAACAAATAAATGATTGAATAACAGGAAATAATTTGTAACTGATAAGGAATTCAAAGAAAACAATTATATGATTGTATAATAGGCCCACAATGTCAAAGGGCACAGGGAATTGGGAAGTTCATCAAAAATGCAGTTTGTTGGCTTTTTTTAAATGTGCCGAATCTCGACAAATATTTCAAAAAATTTGGAAACAAAGTGATCCCTCGGAAGCATTAATCACAACAAAATTACAAGAGAATTGCAGACTCGGTTTGATTGTGACTGTGCATGAGGGATAATGAATACGTGCAACATCCCTCGCGCCCCCTAGCACCGGCTTGAGCGGTACTCAATTCTCAACACTTAATAGTGATGGCATCAGTGATCCCGAAGGGCCAGAAAAATACAACAACACTGAAGTGAAGTATGGGGCAACTTTTTACACCTGCCACACAGCACTTGACACCTGCTGTTGTAAAGTTGTTCAAGGTATAATCTAGATGGACTTAAATAGAATATGCTTTTACTTCATATTTTTCTTTTCCTCTCGAATTATGTATTTAGCAGCGTTCGCAACTGATTTTGTAATAAATATTGAATGAATCCTGAATAACAAAAATATGATATATTGAAATAGTTCATAATAGTGAAATTATGATCCTTTTTTTCTCTGTCACCATTGTTGAATTAGTAATGTATTTCCAAAGATTGGCTCTTATAATGGTGATTGACTTATAAATTATTATGAAAAAATTATACAACATTAAACTTTCTGCTCCACTGTTTTTAAGAATTGTATGATATCAATACATTCTGAACCATATTTATGGACATTTCCCTTTGTCATATGTATAATTGATTTCTTTTTCAGGATAATATAAAGCTGAACACAAGAATCGATAATGACAAGCCAATATCCACTGTGATTGTAATCTTTTGCAGTGTATTGGTAAAAAATCAAGTCAACAGGACTAAAAATAGCCAACTTTTGAGAATGGAGAATAACGTGTAGTGCTCAAAAAAGGGATAACATACCATTATGAGACTTAAGATAAGACACGACAAAGGAGTTTTCAACAGTTGATTGAACATGTACCAATGACGCGTTTCTTCCATGACAAGTTTTCTTAAAGATAAAACAAACAATTATTTCATTAATGTAAAGCACACTTTCCTTGATTAAACAATTATTTGATATAATAATTGAGAAAACAAACAATAAAAATGCAAATGTGCACATTCGATCTTCAGTAGAGAAACAAATAAAATATATGTTTGTCTTGAAAGTAAAAAATTAAATCTTTCGTTTACTTTCCCTGTTCAGATAATAATTATTTGATACGATCAAATGATAACAAAAAGTTACAATAATCAATCACCTGTGCAGCGTCAAATGTCATTTTTTGACGTATGAATAGATAACAGGATGGCCTTTTGTATACCCAGCTGGATGATGGACAAACTTGGGTGAAAAATGAAAACGTTTTATTTTTTTTTGCAACAATAATTTAAAATAAGATATGAGCAAAATTCAAACTTCTTTTGTCAATTTTTTACGTTTAAATCGAAAATTTAAGTACTACAAATGTAATGCCTCTTCGTCTTTGGTCTAAAATACAATTTAAATTATACATCTATAGTCATACGCTAAGTAGACAACAAATTTATGAAAACTGTTTTAAACAAAATCCAAACAATGCAACGGTTACAATTAGGTAAATGGTATAAGATTTTCCTTCTGTGTACAATGCTGTTCAATAATAGGGACAATACATCAAATGAATTTTCAAAAAACATTATAAATATTGTATGTGGTCAAGCCAGTAAACTGAAAAAAATAGAGAAAAAAGAAAGAATCTCCAAAGAAAGCCCAACACGGCAAAATTGAGATGTTGCAGGCTCGGTTTGATTGACGGTACTGTCAAGTGCAAACTAGTGAAACTACCTTTCACGCTCCTTAGCACTGGCTTTAGGAGAATTCAACATTTAAACAGGTAAAGGTAAAATTTTGAACTTCTGCCTTAGTAAGAAATGACAAACGGCCGCGGGACGGCGTCTATTTCTCCAAAAAGAACCCCTTAATATCGGCCAATGTCCGTCCGGTCATCGTGACAATCAGACAGATGAAGTTCTAAATTTAGTCATCGGACGGGCGCCGTCGAGGTTTAAGTACCACTTAAAAGCTAACGGTGTCTGGAAAACTTTTGGGGTCATTCAGTTGAAAAAGTCATTTGGCGGGCATCGACCGGTCGCCGCCCGGGCGATGTATTTCGGATCGGATATTGTTTTTGATACAAAAACACTGTCCAATTTTAAAGGCACCCGGGCGGACATCGCCCGTGCCCCGCCCGGTGCCCGAATAGGCACCAGTTGGCGAACAAGTATCGGCCAGTACCTGAACGCTTTATGCACAAGATCTGGTCGGTTATTGTTTTGTCGTACTGCGATCCTGCGGCTTGAGTTTATTGTAATTGCGGTTTAAATTTTTGAAGTTGCCTAAAAATGTAACTGTTACAGCCCGGCGCGCACATGTTGACCGTCCAATCCATTTATAAATCGCACAGACGCCGTCCGGTCTTTGAATGCTGTCTGTGATATCATTTGGCCGACAGTTTCATTCATGATCACGCAGAGTATCAGATTAAAAATCGCCCTGCGTTCGCGAAATCGTCAAAGCCGATGATGTAAACATCGTTAAATCGGACGGCGGCCGTTTTATTTAGGATCTAGGCATAATATGCAGATGTGTTCATACGGCGGTTATGAAATCATTTTTACAAATAATACAACCCTGTTAAACTTTTCAATTGTCTCTTTTTTCATTTCTATCGATCGGTGAACATAAGATAGTATTGGTTTGAATTCATTAGATATCTTAAAGGTCTCATTGTTATCGAGAAAAATACAGTTTTAAGTTAAATGAAAAATAGTTTGCTATTGACCTGTTCTCTTTCATTTTTTTACCTGGACAGTCCAGTAGGTTGCATTGCGAAATATCAAAATGGTCACCAGGACAAAACAAGTTGCCATGTATTTGACCACTTCCAGAACAGTAACGTACTCTTGACTTTGTGGCATAAGAGCATGTACTTGAACACTGTCCCCATGATCCCCAATTCGACCACACCCCTTCGTCTGGAAAAATTGTAATAAAAGTCAATTTATACGTTAACAATTAAAATGAAATAAAAAGCAAAACATTTTTGCAGTGGTAGTAGTCATATATTGTGTAAACGAACAGTGACATACTTTTGACTTTGTGCCATTAGAGCATGTACGTGAACACTGGCCCCATAATTCCCAATTAGACCACACCTCTTTGTCTGGGTGATGTTAATAAAGAAGGCAATTTATATGTTTAACAATTATAATACAATAAAAAAAAACATTACAGCAGAGGAAGTAGTCTTGTATTGTGTATACGAAATAATTGCCATTTGCATTTATATGTCGAAAAAAAAACAACAACAACTTATTAATAACTAAAAATGTGTCCATAGCACACGGGTGCTCCCACACACCACTGTTCTGTCAATCTTATGGCTCTAGGTCAAATATTTTTGGACTACATGTGCCACAAGTTGAAAACTAGAAATCGTTTACTATGTAATGGGCAAAAACATTACAAATACTGAATAAATCCACAAGCAAACCCAAAGGTGCATAAGTACACATGCTGACCAACATTTTTGTAAACTTTCAGGCCTACAAGTCAAATACCTTTTGAAATGAACAAGTTGAAAAATGCAAATTTGTACTACTGTAAGTCAAGGGCAATAACTCTAACAAAACTGAAATAAAACCACATGCCAAGTCCTAGGTGCATATCTTCACAGTGATGTTGATCATTACTCCTGTACTTTAGTGACGATGATCATTATTTCTGTAGAGTTTGTTGATTCTAACTCAAGCACTCAAGGAACAAATAGCACAACATAATGAAACGGTTTTTACTAAGTCAAGGGCAATAACTTTACAAATACTGGATAAATCCACAAGCAAAACCCAAGGTGCACAACTACATATGCTGAGCAACATTACCGTAAGGTTTCATGACTCTATGTCAAATCCTTTTTGAGTTACATGCGACACAAGTTGAAAATTTCCAAAAAATGTCTAAATCAAGGACAATAACTCTAAACATACTAAATAAAAACAGACGGAAATACCCAGGTGCTCAACTGCACATGTTGATCAACATTCCTGTAAAGTTTCATGACTCTATGTCAAGTTCTTTTTCAGTTACATGCGACACAAGTTGAAAATTGCATATTTTTACTAAGTCAAGGGCAATAACTCTAACAATACTAAATAAATCTACACGAAAATACCCAGGTGCACAACTATACATGCTGATCAACATTCTTGTAAAGTTTCATGACTCTAGGTTAAATCCTTTTTGAGTAAAGTGCGACACAAGTTGAAAATTGCAAATATTTACTAAGTCAAGGACAATAACTCTAAAAATACTGAATAAATCCACATGAAAATACCCAGGTGCACATCTGCACATGCTGATCACAATTCCTGTTAAGTTTCATGACTCTAGGTCACATACTTTTTGAGTTACGTGCGACACAAAAGAGAACGGACGGACGGATGGGCCAACACTTGGGGTTTATGTGCTTTTTCTTTGATCTTTATGTGGCATTTCCCCCATAAACCAGTAAAATTACCACATAAACCAGTCGGTTTACGGGATTTCCTTCTATCTTTAATTAAAATTATGGACGGAATGAAGCTCATAGACCATTGGATGTTCGCCCGGAAGGACAGACGGACAAGGGAAAATCTAAATCCCCCCCATAAAGTGGGGGCACAAAAATGTCAGTTTTATACAGCTCACATGATATATTTTGTCGATTACAAACCGCAAGACTTAAAATAGATACTGACACAGAGGAGATCCCTCGGAAGCAATATACAATAATGATGATGATGATGATAATAATTATAATAAAGCATGGTCCGGTTTGTTTGAGACTGTTTCTGCGAAAGGTGTAAAAGTGCATCCTCTCTATTTCTCTCCAAAATCGCTGATCCAGTTTCGACACTTAACGTGCTTGATACAGTAATCCATTTCTTCATGGAAAATAATATCGACAAAGAAAAAAAAAAACAAACAACACTTAATTTTGAAATAATGGATACACTTTCAATCGGATATAAAACGAACCGAATTGGCCATGAAGTATGATAAATTATTCTTTATAGAGCAGACATAATTAAAGTTCCTCAACACACAGGGCGGGTGAGACCACTCTATTCGTTCAATACAAATATATCCTTGTATGGAACCTTTAATTATGAATACAATATGAATAAAATCTGATTACGTGACACCAAATAAATTGTATTCTTTTTTAGAATCACCTTTACGGAATCGTAGTACAAATCTGTTTCGACGTGAGTAACTAATCACTCAAATTTGTTGCACTTAATAAGTTCATTTGATAATATGAATTGCTTTTGTTCAGTAACATATTTCAAACAATGCAAATATTTATGTGTGTGGTCGTTTATCAAAATATACCCGTTTGTATATCACTACAATATTTGTATATTTCCTGAATATTTTATAGTTCTGACACATTACCAGTAATCTTATAAGTAATTCACTTCATTTTTCTTAACATTTAGGAAGACCAACTTGTAAAAGAAAAGTTCCTTCAGCAGTAATGAAAAGGCAGACATAAAGCTAAACAATGTACGTAGAATCAGTTCGTTGAACCTATGGAAAAGTGCAACTTCTCTCTTTCTCCATAGCATCAGCTGTATCAGTATACGAGCCTAAAGAACATTATATTGATTGATGGAATGACAAAAGCCATCGTCGGATACCCACGGCCGAACCATTAACATTTATCAGCCGTGGGATTTTTTGCCGATATTCAGTCGATTAGAGGTGTGACAAAGGCAGCTATTTCATTGGCTGCCTCACGATTTCATGAGGCGAATTAAGAACCATCAAATAACCCGCTCGATTTTTTTTTTTTTTTTTTTTGTTTTTCTGTAGCGAAGTTTCGGTATTACAAACAATTTGCCGACAACCATAGAACCGTTGAAAAGTTTAGACATGAAATTAAAGAATTTACAGCAAGAGTATAGATATTACTTTTACAGCGTTGATGTTTCTCCTTTCTGGATTTGATATCTGCTTGCAGAAGAATGATAATTGCGATAGGTTTTTGCCCGATTGATTTTAGTCAAGAACCAGTGGCTAAACGGTTTTTCAACCGTGGGCGTGCCCATTTTTCCTCCTACTGAGTTTTTTACCTCAGCTGTTGAAAGAATATAGATTTTGTTAAAAACGCGAATGTCATTGGTAGATTATTTTAGGCACTGTTGCTGTATATCGACGCAAATCGATTCATTTTACCCACGGTTGATTGCATGTTATGTAACATGTTTATCAATCGTGGGTATCCGACGATGGACAAAAGCAAATCAACACTTTAAGCTCGTTGCAAAAGTATTTATAGCCAATTCACAGAACAAATTAAATATTCATGCTGCTCAGATGTTAAACAGTAAACCAAATTTGAAAATTAAATTAACTAAATTTTCATGGCATTATTATATACTTACGTAAGCATAACCTGTCACTGCAAGTCTTTGTCTCTATTGATATGCCTGTACAGTTTTGAGCATGCGCTACATGAACTTGATACAGACAGTCCCTTCTCCTTACCGCTGTCCCTTGGCTACATGTCTTTGAACAATCAGACCAATCGTGCCATTGTGACCATCCGTAATGACCTAAACATTTACATTTTCGCTTTTCGGTCATTTTATTGACCAATCATACCAGACACGTGAAATTGTTTATTTTTAATAAAAACATTTTGATGTCTGTGTAAAACAGTTAGGTTAACCTAGTAAGTAAGCGGAACCGTACTATTATTTACATGTAAGATTAAAAAACAACCACAACAGCAACAAATTTAAACTGTATTAACAACAACAAAAAATTCAAACAGAAACAAATTTGATAAATAAAAATGAATAAGACAGTTACATGCGTACCACACTTTCTTATATTATATAATGTGATAACAAATTTATTGATGAAATTGTATCACCAGCCTTAAATTCTGACATGAATTACAAGCCTTAAATTCTGACATGAATTACAAGCCTTCAATTCTGACAATATTTGATTATTTTTATTGTGAAATGGAATTTATTAAACTACGCAATTTCTTTGATACAATTCAATTAATTTACTTGTTTTAGTATGGGCGGCAGTTGATCCATCGAAAGCATAAATCACATCAAAATTGAACGAAAATCGTTATATCGGGTCTGTAAATGAGCGGTTACAAATAATTGCAAAATCCCTCACGCACTCTAGCACCGGTTGAGAAATTATAGAGCTGAAAAGTCAGTTTTACAAGTTTGCCAAACACACAGTAGGGGGAAAGATCTGCAAGAACTTCATAACTTATACTTACCGCATAATCCGCAAGTTTTTGGACAAAGTTGATCTACCTTTGGCACTTTTACACAAGCATTTGTGTCAAGCATTCCAAATGAAGCACAAGAATCTTCATTTTTGTTAAAACATGAAGGGTCACCAAACATCTGGAGTGCATAGATGGTCCCGACCGCTGGGGAATAAAAGAGTAAAAAAAATCATTGTGCCAGATTAACGGCATGAAAAAATAACTTTTTTTGGAATTTTGATGTTCTAAAACAATGCCGTGTTATTTGAGGTTATCGTTTTACAAGCTTCAAAAGAACGAACATTTCTAATGTTTTAAACTAGTTACTCAGTTATTCTTTCTTCCATTAAGGTATTACCATCGTTATGCATTATCCCTGCTTTGAAGAGTTAGAGCTAGAACTACTGTTTACTACATTGAAACTGAAGGCCGTATATTCAAAACCCAGAATGGTCAACTTTGTTTCTTTCTTTTATTCTTTAACAATAATATTATAATAAAAAAAATAGAACTACACGATAAATGTAATTAATATATTAAAAAATCATTCCATGCACTTTTGAAATAAATTAGGGAATCTTCGAAAACAGGCACTCATTTGATAAATTCTAGGGATTTTTTTATTAAGTTCTCTAGGTATGTGGATAATTAAACACATGTTAAAATGTCCGGGTTAGTGACACCATTTTACAATATAAATTTCAACATCTTTTTGTAGAAACATTTTGCTTGTGTGATTGTTAGCTTGAGTCCTTTGAGGTGCCCTTAAAGATATATATCTGAACAATGTTGTCAATTTTTCAGTTCCTTATAGTGCCTGCTAGGATGATCATACTTTAATATGTGTATTTTCATTTTACAAACACAGAAATCAATTGAATTTTGTCTTTGTATGCGATATTCGATTTTGAAAATGAAAAAAATATCTGTTCATTAATTGTGTACTGTTGTTTGTTTTTGTACATAAAAACTGTCTATAGTCTTTTGTATCGTGCTTTTTTATCACGATATATATTTAAATCATTGCATATCTCAAACAGAACTATGTTATATACCTGACATAGTCAAACATCTATATTTCAATGTTATTATTTAAGGAATTCTGCAAAATATAACGCCTCAAATGCGATATTCAAATAGATTTACATATGGTTATTTTATGTATGTATTAACCTTAATATCAGAATGTGAAACAATGTTCCGTGATTTATTGTAATAATCAATATTCATCGGCATGCATTTTATTCATCCCATTGCAAACAAAACATTAAACGGGTATCATGCCAGACACCACAAAGTCCATTATATTAGTCTAGATTTAATCACTTAACTTCATACTGTATTAAAATAAACTGATTTCAAGTACACTTACATGAGGTATGGTGTTCACATGCAACTGTATTGCAATTGTCTTTGTCACAACATACAGAACACGCTGTCGAAGTATTGTGTGCAACATTTGAACGCTTTCCAACGATTATCCCCGGATTAATCGAGTCCGGAGTACTTCTTGTGCAGTGCTACAAGAAAACAGTTAAATGCTTTTTCATCATGTTCATGCTTTCGTTTTTCTAACGATGTTTTAACCAAGGGTGTATTTTGTTTTAATGCAGTATGAAAATAACAATACATGAATAGTAAATGTGTGAGTAATACCAAATCCGTTAAAATCTGATTTTCTTTGTCCGTGTTTTATGCAGCATAACATACAGAAATAAACCATGATTACAAAATTATAAAAAAGTGTTAACAAATTTTACATGAAGTATTCCATTAAAGTTAAAAGGAATGTACTGCCAAAATAATGAAAATAAAAACACAAGAGCCCAGTTTGAACCGGGTGATGCCCCGAAAAGGTTATGGACACAGAAAATATACACATCTTGTTGTTTCAGAGTTATAGCCCTGGACAAAATTCAATGCTAAAAAGTAGCAAAGGGCAATAAGTCCAAAAATGAGACAAATCAGAGTCATTGATATTTTTCACTGCTCATTTACCCAATCAGATTTATCTACCTACAAAGTGTCTTGTTGGAATCTCTTATAATTAAAGAGTATGTCCCGGAAAGGCATTAGCTCCAAAATTAGGCAAGGCATAGCTACGGTTCTTGTACAATGCACAAATTCTTATTTAGATCTATGTTCCTACAAAGTTTCACGTAAAACCTCATACAGTTTCAGAGATATGTCCCGACGAAGTTCAAAATGTAAAAATGAACACAGGACAATAACTCAAAAATAGGGTGAGGCAGAGTTACGATTCTTATCGATTGCACATTTACTTATTGAGATCTATCTACCAACAAAGTTTCATGTTGATATCTCTTATAGTTTGAGAGTTATGTCCCGGAAAGTATTTTTTCTAATAGGGTGGAGATAATTCAAAACCGGTGCAAAACAGAATGTTGGTTCTTTGACAATGCACTTTACCAGTGTTTGAAGTTTCAACAAATTATCTCCAAGGGTTTTTAAGTTATGCTACTGACAAGCACAACGAACGGACAGATTTGCAGACGGACAAGGCGGCGACTACTTGCTCTCCCTTCGGGAAGCATTATAAAAATAAGGACATGTCGCTTACAATTGTACTCATACATCCCATTCGAAATCTCTTGTTTCCGTAGACCACAACTTCACGAATATAACATATCTAGAAATTGCGAAGAACATAGATATATGACAAAGTTTATAAAATATATTTTAAGATGATAAAGCATGTACAATTTCAAATATTACCCGTCGTAAATGACAGGCACCAGCACATCTATTGTAATTTTGATTGATTCTTACATCGATTTTTTTTTCAATTTATTTTGAATCAACATATGCTTATTTGAAATTTTTATATAATTGTCAAATTAATATTTTACTTTTCCAAATTAAATTCCATTCAAATTGTTATAATTATTAGTATATATTTTGAAAAAAATGAAAAGAAATCACGGTTTAAACAGAAAAAAATCTGGAAACAAAGTGATCCCTCGGAAGCATTAATCACAACAAAATTACAAGAGAATTGCAGATTCATTTTGATTGAGTTATATTTTTTTACAAATTTCGAAGTAGATTCACCACCAAAAACCAAACAATTACACAAAAAGGTATGCAGTCTGATCGAGGATCATCGGAGAACCCCTAAAGAAACGCCCGAAAATACGGTAATTTGAAAATTGTTGGGCAGGGTCGTTTGACCAGGCCGGAATCATGGGCGCTACTGGGAAAGTTCCATTTCAGCCACGTTTCTTCTTGGTGCCAGTTTAAGCATTGACAAACAATGAAATACCTCTAAGCTTAAGACAGGTGTGTTTCGGTATATTAGGTAAACATAACACTGTAAATTTTATCATAATTCTGTGTAAATACTTCATATTATTTAAAATGAAATATAAAAAATATACCCACTTTTGAAAAAAATATGCCATTTCTCTCTTACAGGATAAGAATTGAAAAAGAAATATCATTAATTCAAGACAATCTACAAATTTTTGAAGAAATATATCCAAATTTCAATAAAACCTAACTTTTACAGACCCCAAAACCACACTATTTAGACAGATAATTATGTATATACACATAGAAAAGGAAACGATCTACAACTGTTATCCCCGTTTAGTTCATTCCGTATATTTTTTCATTTTTTTTAAATATATATAGTTTTTTTCACTAAGTATAAACTTTGCCAAATATTGTTATGAATGTACTTTTTTCAACTATCTTTTAATAGGGACATAACTGACCCCTCTCTCTCTCTTCTCCTCTCTCTCTCCCTCCCCTCTCTCTCTCTCTCGTCTCTCTCTCTCTCTTGTTCTTCTCTTATTCTTCATTTATCTTTCCTTTTTTTGTACACTTTCTTTTCTCTTTTTTCATACTTATTATGCACTTTATAGTAGTATCAGCTTTTCTTAGAACTCATTTTCTTCTGTCAAAAACTTTTATAAAAAGGTCTTAAGATACAAATATACTTGTCATAATCTGATAACATTGATTTGACATTATTTTTTATGTATTTACTTACAGGTTCTATGATTTGAATGTTTGTTGTTATGATTGAAAAATAAAAGAGAAGAAAAATGAATTTAGAACCATCGGCAATTATACATACGGAGGATATCATGAAACCTACATTGTGACACCTTTTGTGCCAGTCTAGAATAAATGGCTTATGGTCCCCAAGTTAAAGAATGCGTGTACCCTAAATGAGAAACAATTGGCTTAACTAAATTAAATTGACTTTGAAAGGAGATCAGACGGTTTGAAGCATATATATCGCAGATAAAACGTTAAAACTAATTAAAACATGAAACATATCCTAAGGGTGATAATACAGTATTTGTAAAACTGTAACAATCAAACTTGAAATGGTTCAAATAAAAAGAACTGAAAGATACGATAAACATGCGCACAGAACTATAAAGTCGTGCTTGACGATCTTCCGGTATCAAATATATTACATTTGTTCCATATTTATTTGAACTGCTTCTTACAAACCTCGTTTTCATTGCATTGTACAAGATTTGTACAGGTGTCTGGACTGCTAATAAGTTCACAGGACATGCAACGAGGAGGCCTGACTTTACCTCCCTTTGGTGAAACTAAAAGACAAAAACTTTACAAATACGTGAAATGCGTAAACAAGACATGCATTCTGAAATTTTAAAGAAATTAACGGAAAGTGTTTAGAATCATGAATGAATAATTTTCCTTCGGTTTGATTGACTAATCTATCGAGAGATTAGCTAAAATTTTAAATGCTCTTTGACATACTATCTGAAAAAAATATGACGCACTCAATTTTATGGTGTTAAAACAAAAAACACAACAACAACAAAATTAAACAAGAGGGCCATGATGGCCCTGGATCGCTCACCTGACACAACCGCATCCAAGCAATGTCTTAAACAAGCATCATGGCCAAGTTTGATGACAACTGAGTCAAACATGTGACCTCTAGTGTGTTATAAAGATTTTTCCATATTTGGGCAATGTGACCTAATTTTTGACCGGACATGACCCATATTCACACTTGACCTAGAAATCATCAAAAACAACCTTCCTGACCAATTTCCAGGAAATTTGAATCAAAACTGCAGCCACTAGAGTGTAAACAAGCTTTTTCTATTTTTAGCTCCTGTGACCTAGTTTTTGACCTAACATGACCCATCTTCGAACTTGACCCAGAAATCATCAAAAACAACCTTCCTGACAAATTTCCAGAATATTTGACTCAATACTGCAGCCACTAGAGTGTTAACAAGCTTTTTCTATTTTTAACTCCTGTGACATAGTTTTTTGACCGGAAATAACCCATCTTTGTACTTGACCTAGAAATCATCAAAACAACCTTCTTGACAAATTTCCAGAATATTTAGATGAAAACTGCAGCCACTAGAGTGTTAACAAGCTTTTTCTATTTTTAGCTCCTGTGACCTAGTTTTTAACCGGAGATGACCCATCTTTGTACTTGGCCTAGAAATCATCAAAACAATTTTCCTGTCAAATTTCCAGAATATTTGGATGAAAATTGCAGCCACTAGAGTGTTAACAAGCCTTTTCTATTTTTAGCTCCTGTGACCTAGTTTTTGACCGGAGATGACCCATCTTCGAACTATACCTAGATATCATCAAAACAACCTTCCTGACAAATTTCCAGAATATTTGGATGAAAACTGCAGCCACTAGAGTGTTAACAAGCTTTTTCTATTTTTAGCTCGTGTGACCTAGTTTTTGACTGGAGATGACCCATCTTCGAACTTGACCTAGAAATCATCAAAGCAACTTTCCTGACAAATTTCCAGAATATTTGGATGAAAACTGCAGCCACCAGAGTGTTAACAAGCTTTTTCTATTTTTAGCTCCTGTGACCTAGTTTTTGACCGGAGATGACCCATCTTCAAACTATACCTAGATATCATCAAAACAACCTTCCTGACAAATTTCCAGAATATTTGGATGAAAACTGCAGCCTCTAGAGTGTTAACAAGCTTTTTCTATTTTTAGCTCCTGTGACCTAGTTTTTGACCGGAGATGACACATCTTCGAACTTGACCTAGATATTATTAAAGCAACCTACCTGACAAATTTCCAGAATATTTGGATGAAAACTGCAGCCTCTAGAGTGTTAACAAGCTTTTTCTATTTTTAGCTCCTGTGACCTAGTTTTTGACCCGAGATAACCCATCTTCGAACTCGATCTGTATTTCATTGAGACAAACATTCTGACAAAGTTTGATGATGATCCAATCAAAACTGTGACTGCTAGACTGTTAACAACCCAATTGTTAGAGTGTTAACAAGCTTTTTCTATTTTTAGCTCCTGTGACCTAGTTTTTGACCGGAGATGACCCATCTTCGAACTTGATCTAGATATCATCAAAACAACTTTCCTGACAAATTTCCAGAATATTTGGATGAAAACTGCAGCCTCTAGAGTGTTAACAAGCTTTTTCTATTTTTAGCTCCTGTGACCTAGTTTTTGACCCGAGATAACCCATCTTCGAACTCGATCTGTATTTCATTGAGACAAACATTCTGACAAAGTTTGATGATGATCCAATCAAAACTGTGACTGCTAGACTGTTAACAACCCAATTGTTGACGATGAACGACGCACAACGCACGACGCACGACGACGGACGCCGGACATAGCCCCATCACTATACCTCACCTAACTCTTGATATTGTCCAGAAACCATTTATCATTTTTAGTAACGATGACCTTGACCTTGATCTAAGGAGGTCAAAATGCCATATCAATCGTGGTCTTTATTTACGATTCCTATACACTACGTTTGATAACCATATCTCATACCAAGATCAAGTTATTGTCCGGAAACAATTTTTCTATTTTTAGTAACGGTGACCTTGACCTTAAGATCACGGGATCCAAATGTAATACCAACCGGGGTCTTCATATACGCTTACTTTACAACAAGTTTGATTACAATACCTCATTTCATACTGTAGTTATCGTCCGGAAACCATGATGTGGACCGACCAACCGATCGACCGACAAGCTGATTCTTTTATACCCCCCTAAACTTCGTTTTGAGGGATATAAAAATATTTATGATATAGGACGATATTACATTGGCGAAGAATTTGATTTGTGCTATGGCTTATTTCATAACTTGCAGAGTGTGTGTTGAGGTATAAAATGTGTAAATTATGAAAACATAGGCAAGGAACCTAACAACAAACCAAACAAAACAGGACAAAGCAAAGGGGTGAGACATGGAGGGGACTTTATAATGAAATAATTCCAAACTGAAATAAAAAACAACAACAAAAAAAACAAAAGCCGGTTGAACCGGGTGATGCTCCCCGAAAAGGTTTTGGACACAGGAAGGTATACCTCTTGTAGTGTTAGTTATGTCACAGACTAAGTTCAAAGTTTAAAAACAACCCAAATGTTGCGCGCGACACGTGGTCTTAATATGGTAATTATTTATGTGAAATAGTTGTAAAATCCGAATTCAGATAACATAGTTATGGGCCGGACACGATTTTGCTGCAAGGTCATGCTGTGACCTTGACCTTCAAGATAGCGACCAAAATGTTGCGCGCGATACGTCGTCTCAATATGGTGATCATTTCTGTGAAATAGTTGTAAAAACCGACTTCAAATAACGAGGCTATGAGCCGTACACGATTTTGCTGCAAGGTCATGCTGTGACATTGACCTTCAAGGTAGCGACCCAAATGTTGCACGCGACACGTCGCCTTAATACGGTGATCATTTCTGTGAAATGGTTGTAAAATCCGATTTCAGATAACATAGTTATGGGCCGGAAACGATTTTGCTGCAAGGTCATGCTGTGACCTTGACCTTCAAGATAGCGACCAAAATGGTGCGCGCGATACGTCGTCTCAATATGGTGATCATTTCTGTGAAATAGTTGTAAAAACCGACTTCAAATAACGAGGCTATGAGCCGTACACGATTTTGCTGCAAGGTCATGCTGTGACATTGACCTTCAAGGTAGCGACCCAAATGTTGCACGCGACACGTCGCCTTAATACGGTGATCATTTCTGTGAAATGGTTGTAAAATCCGATTTCAGATAACATAGTTATGGGCCGGAAACGATTTTGCTGCAAGGTCATGCTGTGACCTTGACCTTCAAGATAGCGACCAAAATGGTGCGCGCGATACGTCGTCTCAATATGGTGATCATTTCTGTGAAATAGTTGTAAAAACCGACTTCAAATAACGAGGCTATGGGCCGTACACGATTTTGCTGCAAGGTCATGCTGTGACCTTGACCTTCAAGGTAGCGACCCAAATGTTGCACGCGACACGTCGTCTTAATATGGTGATCATTTCTGTGAAATGGTTGTTAAATCCGATTTCAAATAAAGAAGTTATGGGCCGGACACAAATACGGGTCGAACGTCCGTACGGACGGGCGGACGGACTGACGGACGGACAATATGGCGACTATATGCTCCCCGAATTTTTCGGGCAGCATAAAATCCGTCAATTTGTTAAAGATATTCAAGAAAAAGTATTTATTTAAGGGCCAACAAAAGGATAAAATATATATGAAAGAGTATAGAGGGTCGCGGAAGGGATGAGGGTGTTGTAAACAACTAGGGGAAAGGTTATCCATGCTTATCAATCGGGCTGACTAATCAAATGAGGTAAAACACTCACTTGGAATGTTACAATGGTTTAAGTTACATAAGTTCTCCAAACACATATTAGTACAAAATGTCGCGTCTTCTCTCTGTGCAGACTGCAATAATTGTAAAACATAGTTCAATATATTACCAATTGAATAGTTTGAACGAGATTAATAATAATGCCGTTCACTAAAATAAGTGGGAAACGATAATTAAGTTCTACAAGGCAGCCCACGTTTACAAACCGCAGCCCTAGACATAAGAAAATAAATGATAACACAGATAAACAAGGCATGGTCAGTAATTCAGCCCGGCACCGATTTCTTGCTGTGACGCAAACAAAATAAACAGGAACATATCAGAATGAGATATAATGTTACATTACAAAACATAGATTCATATAAATACATCATAATCATCATATTAAACATTGAAGAATAACAAATGAAGATGAATATAACCAAAAGGACAAATCGTGAATGATTATGTTTAAAACAAAAGCGATACGCCGATCAAATGTGAGGTAATTCTTAAAACTTGCAACCAATTCTCAGAGAAGCTCATAACTTTTCTTTTTGACAAATGATGATTGGTCAAGTGTGATTTTATCTTATTCAGAAATGTTTCTTATTATTACATGAATATTTAATCCAAAAAAAACGGATGATAAAATTTAGAGACGTAGATTAAGTATAATCCTGTTATAGCACTTTATTTAGGGGGAAACTATTTTTATCCCCCATCCCAATGTTTAAGATTTGAAATATGATATTGATATAAGTATAAAGTAATTCTACATTCTAATATATAATTTTATTTTCATGATAAAAATGGTTCACCAATATTTATGTCTAGATGTTAAAGACATTACTTGCAAGGCATTTTTATTTCACATTCATAGCATAAATATGTAATTTTCGTACCATATCACGTGTGCATCCCACCGTGTATTTTACCTTTCCAGAAGACGTACCGTCAGCACGAGCATAGCACACCTATGAGATAGGTTGAAAAATTATTATTGCATTGTATGATTGATGGGTGAACATCGATCAAAGATTTACAAGGAAGGGCATTCAGTTTTCGCATCCCAACAAAACCAAGTGTCACAAACACCTGCAGCTGACTCCCCATTCATTCATGTTTGTTTGTTTCCTTTTACACCATTTCCCAACAGTATTTCAGTCATATAGGCGGGTAGTTTCCTAACCAACGTTCCTGGAGAGTTACACCAGTACTAGACTACCTTCTCCGTGCTTAACTACCAAAGCATCTCCCGGGGATCGAACCTACGCCAGAGAGGTAACTGGATTAGACTCCCCATTCACATCGCCAAGTACATATGAAGATAAGCCGACACATCGTATGATCTTGGTCTCAACCCTTCATTTTTCTGTAAGTACTTATTTTCATAATATCCTTAAAATGATGATGTTTGTATTTTAAGCATGACCGTGAAAATATAATAAGCATTTATTTTACAATTGTGACGTTCCATAGCCTTCAATGTAAAGTGATTTCTAGACTAAATTAGTACTATGTGTTACAAATATTATAGGGCGAAAGTGTACCTCATCATTTCTGCAGTCAGTTATATTCATACAATCTTCGCTGGTATCAAATTTGTCACAAGAATAACACTGTAATGCAACAGTTCCTTTGTAAAGAAAAACAAAACATTTACAGTTTTGATGAATATTACTAACATTGTTTAACTCAGATATAAAAATTACGCTATTTATCAAAGAATTGATTTATCCTGATTATAGAAGCCCATTCGTAAGATAGTTCAATAGTTTCATTACATGAACGAATCTGAACTCCTTGTAAGGAAATAGAAGCAAAATCAGAAGGCGAAGTGATCATAAGTCAGCACGTTTAACAATGCGGTTACGGATGAACACTACTGTTATCTGGTTGTTGATGTTGGGGCGGTGGCGTTGTGGTTAAGGTGTCTGCTATTAAGCCAGAGATCATGGGTTCGAGCCTTATTTGTGTTACAACCATGTTTCTTCATTTAACACCAGTACTGGCTGGTTCCAGGTAGCGGACTCGAGAGTGATTAAGATTAAGTTGCAAGAACTTGTTTCGCAATGATTTTTCGTGAAAAATTATTAGAGCCTTAATAATATATATTAAAATTTTACAATTTTAGCAATACTCCTTTGAATCTTTAGAAATTAAGGACTTTAGAAAATGATATTGGTTAGTTTTACCTTGTAATAAGCAGACGTATACAAGAAATAAAAGAAGACACACACAATACAGCGCTGTAAACAGAAAAAAATTGCACAAATAAACATGCCGACTGTTTCAATTGTATACTTGTTATCTTTCTTGTCCACTGTTTAATATATGAAACCGTGATCTTAAATGACGATTTTCTTATCTGCTATCGATCGAAAAATATGAGAACAATTGAAAGGCAACTTCAACAAAATTTAGAGAAAATTTAAAAGTGGGCAATAGAAAATGGTTTTAAATTTTCAAAGTCAAAAAGTCAATGTGTTCATTTTTGTCGATTGCGGAAACACCATAATGACCCTGAACTTTACATATCTGGTTCTAAAATGCCAGTAGTTGATGAAGCTAAGTTTTTAGGAATTATATTTGATAAAAAACTTTCTTTTATACCACATATTAAACATTTGAAAACTAAATGCCTAAAAACTTTAAATTTATTAATTTATAAGGTTTTATCAAGTACACATTGGGGATCAAATTCTTCCACATCACTGAAATTATACAGAAGTCTTATCCGGTCAAAAATAGATTATGGTTCTGTACTATATTGGTCCGCAAGAAAATCATATCTTCAAATGCTAGATACCATACATCACCAGGGTCTATGTTTAGCTTAAGGTGCTTTTGCAGCTCACCTGCGGAAAGTCTAGATGCGGAAGCTGGGGGAACCATCGCTTCATCTTCGTCGAAATAAGCTATCACTTCAATATGCAACTAGAATTTTATTTAATAGCAAACATCCAGGTAAAAATATTTTTTTTCAAACCAAGTTATACTGAAAAAATTGTTAACAAACCAAAGGAAATTAAACCATTAGGCCTTCGTTTAAACGATGATTTAGATAAACCTAAAGTTAATCCAGACAGTATCCTTCAAAATGACGATGCGGATGTTCCACCTTGGACTTTTTATTCCCCGAAAATAAATATTAACATTTCAAATATAAAAAAGTCATCAAATTCACCTGAACATTTCAAAGAGAAGTTTCTAGCAATTAAGGAAGAACATGAAGATTTTATACATATTTATACGGACGGTTCAAAAGAAGGTTGCAAAGTAGGTGCTGCTGTGTTTGAAAATAATTTTACATCTAGTATGAGGTTACCAGATAATGCACCAATTTTTACTGCTGAAGCAAAAGCTATAGATTTAGCATTGTCATACAGAGAACAGCATACCCATGATAAATTTGTGACATTTTTCTGACTCATTTTCTGTTTTAATATCCATTAAAAATAAAAAAAATGTGACAATATTATGATAAGGAAACTTCTTTTAATTTCATGATATACTTAAAACAAAATATGTTAAATTATATTGGATCCCAAGTCATGTAGGTATACGAGGTAATGAAAAAGTAGATGCTTAAGCTAAACAATCATTAAATTTTTAAAAAAACTGACTTATTGTTACCTGCTTGTGATTTTAGACCAGCTATAAATAAACTCGTATCATCCGAATGGAAAGCAAATTGGGACAATGCCGTTTTTAATAAACTTCACGATATAAACCAATGTCTTGATGTGTCACCATCTCTTTCTCTGTCAAACCGCCATGATAAAACAGTTCTTCTTCGATGCCGAATTGGACACACTAAAATTACCCACTCTTATCTCCTCACGAATGACAATGTCCCTTTCTGTGCAGCTTGTAATGAAAATTTTACTGTTAAGCATTTTCTCCTTGAATGTCATGATTTTCCACAGGCCCGTAATAGATTTTATTGTGTAAATTCACTCAAAGAACTCTTTAAAACAATTCCATCAAAAAACATCATTAATTATTTGAAAGAGATAAACTTGTACTCTAGGATCTAATTGTCTCATTTTTATTGTCATTTACAAAGTTTTACATAACATTTTAAGCCTATTATAGCATTCGCCACGATATGGCCAGTTATGTGTTGACGTGCCGTAAAAATAATCAGCTGCCATTCAACAAAGTGTTCATGTCGTGTCTTTTTGAGATAATAACAATATATTATCATATGGCATAAGTTCCCTTTTTGTGTCGCCTCCACGGAGTAGTGGCGACATATAGGGATCATTTCTCCGTCGTCTGTCTGTCTGTCCGTCACAAAACTTGTCCGGACTACTCCTCATAAACTACTGGTGCAATTTCATTCAAACTTTACAGGAATGATAAGTACCAAGTCTAGTTGTGCATATTGTCAGCATTTTCCGGTTCAACGATTTTTGTCAGAGTTATGGCCCTTTAATAATTTTTATTTTTAAAGTTTGTCCGGACTACTTCTCTTATACCACTAATGCAATTTTATTGATACTTTACAGGATTGATCTGTAGCTCAAATCCTTGCGCATATTGCACGGGTTGTCAGGTTGAATGATATTTGGCCGAGTTATGGCCCTTTGATAAAAAGGTGTTTTTTCTGTGTGTTGCCAGATACACAAAAGCTTGTCCGGACTACTCCTCATAAACTACTGGTGCAATTTCATCCAAACTTTACAGGAATGATCAGTACCAAGTCTAGTTGTGCACTGCCCGTCTGTCTGTCTGTTTGTCACAAAACTTGTCCCAACATGACATTGGCCATCATGAGGCGACACATGTGATCACTGATCGCTCTTGTTTTTAGAAACCTTTTAATTAGTACCGGTTATTTTCAGAAAATTTTAAGCCGTATAATAAATAGATACGTTTAAATAGAGAGAAATAAGAATCCTAAAAGAAAGCCCAACACGGCAAATTTGAAAATGTTGCAGGCTCGGTTTGATGGAGGGTACTGTCAAGTGCAAACTACCGTCCACGCCCTAGCACCGGCTTAATATTTCACAAAGACTGTTATAAGCATTCTAATATTGTTAATATGAATTACAGAGTTTGTAAATTGCAATAACATACCTCCCATCGTCAATATACGCTCCTATAGTCAATGATCTTTATAATTGTGTGAAGGTTTAATGATTTTCAGATAAATTTATATTAAGTCTAGTGTTTTAATTCACCGTAGGGAACGTGTTACAATATCGTGCAATTAATTTGAGCCTTCACCATTCTCAATTATATTGTAATGAGCGTTCTTAAAACTTTATGGATTTCGTTTGTTTCCTACTTGTAGTTACAGGTTACAATTTTCAAGATTGAGGACGATTCAACATCAGAGAGAAAGGCTTTTTATTTCGGCATTTATTTTCAATTAGATTGATTTCTAAAATATATTGTTTTGTTTGTTTGCACGGAAAAGAACTCCTCATAAAGTCATATATTTCTCCAGACTATGTACCCAAGTATTTCGCCTCTCGACACAAAGTTGTGCTTCTTTCACATTTGCTTAATTTGAATCGAGATACCAATGCAATTTTTCTCCCAAAGAATATAAGAATCAAGAGCCTGACAAACCTTTCTTCTTGCTCGTCTGATGCTATTTGAAAAGAAAATCAATGAAATATTATGGCGCCATGGAATTATGTACTGTTACTGTATAGACCCAGCGTCTTTGTTCCAGTTTTATAAACGTTTATACCAATACTTTGGTTACAGTTTAGACCATGATATTGAAAAAATATTTTGCGTTAAATATTAGGTTATCTGTATGAATAATATGTAGATATTTATTTGATGATATCAAATCCTCTGGAATATCTATGGTATTCCATGTTGATATAAACAACATTAACTTGTAATTGCACTATTAAAACTAAGCTCTACCTACATTCCGTTGAATCAATTTGCTAAAATGTTCCAAACGACGTTTCCTTGTAACTAATAAAAAAACAAGAAGGCAATGATGGCCCTGAATCGTTCACCTGAATATAAAAACTCTCCATAACAAGGAACAATTTATAGTGTCAACTATAAACAAGATAAAACTCTAACCAATTTCAAGGTAGTTTAGACTGAAACAATAGCCGCTAGTCTGTTAACAAGGTTTTTTAATATTTTACTGTGCGACCTTGTTTTTAGTTACAAATGACCCATATTCAAACTTGACCTAGAAATCACTAAAACAAACTTTCTGACCAACTTCCAAAACAATATCTGTAGAGTGTAAAAAATGTTTTCCATTTTTAGGCTGTGTGACCTAGTTTTGACCCCAGGTGACCTGTATTCAATCTCAACCTAGAAATAATAAGAACAACCTTTCTGATTAATTTCAAAAACATTTTGATCAAAATAGTATCTTTTAGAATGCTAACGAGGGTTTATATATATATATATATATATATATATATATATATATATATATATATATATATATATATATATATATATATATATTTGGTCTGCGTGACTTAGGTTTTGAGCCCTAGTGACTCATATTCACAACTGACCTATAAGTAATTAAAAAAAACTTTCTGACGAATTATCAGGATAAGTTGGACTGGAGCAGTAGCCCATAGAGTGTTAACCAGCTTTTTTCCATTTTGGACCGTGTGACCTAGTTTTAGATCCCAGGTGATCCATATTCGAACTTGACCTAGAAATTGGTAAAAGAACCTTTCTGCCGATTTTAAATACATTTGGATCAAAACAGTAGCCACCGGAGTATAACAACGTTTTTCATATATTTTGGTTGTGTTACCGTACTTTTGAACCCAAGTGACCAATATTCAAACTTGACCTAGAAAATCATCATAGCAACCTTTTTGACTGACCTATTTCCAGAACATTTGGCCTGTAACAGTAGTCCGTAGAGTGTAAACATGTTTTTTGCATATTTGGACGGTGTGACCAAGTTTTTGACCCAAGGTGACCAATATTCAAATTTTATCTAGAAATCAACTAACAACCTTTCTGTCCAAGGATGTTTGTTTTTTAAAACTGTAGCCTCTAGAATGTTAACAATGTTTATCAGGCTGTATGGCCTATTTTTGACCCAAAATGACCTTTATTCGAACTTAACACATTGAACATCATATCAACTTTTCTGACAATTTTCAGGATATTTGGAATACAATCGAGAGTGTTTACAAGTGCTTTTTTTATATTCGGACGCAACGAGACCTATATTCAAAATTGACCTAGAAATCATCAAAACAATTTTTCTGACTACTTTCCAGGATATCTGAATCAAAACAGTAGCCTCTTGAATTTTAACAACGTTTTTCAATTTTTGGGCTGTGTGACCTAGATTTTCATCCCGAATGACCAATATTTAAGGTAAAAGATCATAAGACAACCTAATCGACCAATCTCCAGAATATTCGGACTGGAACAGTAGCCCCTAGAGAGTTTACAAGGTTTTCAATATTTTGACTGTGTGACCTTATTTTTTGACTTCAAGTGACCCATTTTCAAACTTGACCTATAAATCATCAACACAATCTTTATGACTATTTTCTAGGATATTTGAATTAAAACAGTTGCCAATAGAGTGTTAACAATATTTTTCTATTTGAGCTTCCTCGATCTGAGATGGCCCACGTCCGAACAATTACTTAGACAATAGTCCTGACAAGTTTAATGACAATTGAGGCACAAATGTGACCACTAGAGTGTTAATGAACTAAATGACGGACGGCGGATGTGATACGACCCTAAAGCTCAGGTGAGCTAATAAGATAAAAACCTGAAAACAAAGTAATCCCTCGGAACTATTAATCACAACAAAATAACATGCAAATTGCAGACCTAGCTATTGTATGATATTAACAAAATGACCTTAAACGTGGCAAGGGACAAAATGAAAAGGTCAAAAATAGGCTTCAGATGTTAAAATATTTGTTTAGGGTTGCAATTATCTGACTGCACTTCCTTAGAAATAAGTTGAATATCTGTATTCTACCTAAAGCAACATATGCTACCGGAACATATGCTGGTGAATGCAAACCATTAACAATATTTCTTATGCTACTAGTATGTGATAATACATTACTATAATTTCGACATTTGACCACCGGAATGTCATCAAAGTGTTGCATTACTGACCACACAAGAAAAGCATAGTTAATACAAGAAATTGTTGATGCGCACCAACACTAGACACTTCAAGGGGGATCACAGGTGCACGCCATGAATATTATAGATAAGGAATTCATGTATATACATAATTTTATACCAAAACATAGGTTAACACACATTGTTTTAACAAAGAAATATTTTTTCTGACATATATAATGACGCGCAACATGCTTTTAATTACAAGGAAAAGACGTATGCTTAAAACGGATGTAAACACTATCAGATATTGAGAAGAATGTTGCATGATGACGTCAGTTGTATGAAAGGAAAAAGTTAAGTATTGAACATTTTTCGACGGTGTTCGTTTTGATTTTTCTGTTTTAATGATTGTTGCAATAACAGCATGGTGATATGAAAAACTTATCCCTCTATTTACGTTGTAGTGTGTAAGTTGGCAAAATTTGGTAAATTAAATATTGTCCCTTTTTTCAACGCATCTTGAATGCACAATATGCCTTATAACGAACAAATCTTCGCTTCCGTAGAGAAAGCAGACATGTAATGTAAAACGTTTAAATAATGCTTTAAGAGCAAGAGCATATTAGATGCTTGTTACCTGAAGAAAGTAGCAAACTTTAACATTTCAGTTGAAGAACAAACACTACAACCGTTTACAAATATATGAAAATGAACAGTTATGTTTAAATAATAAGCTACTCAGACTGCAGACGTTTCAAAATTCCAAAATTTTATCAATTCATGTTAAACGTTGAATTCTGCATAAGCCGTTTCTAAAGGGCGTGGACGGAGGCTGGAACTTACTACTACCATATTTAAACAGCTGTATCAAACCGAGACTGCAACATTTCAAGTTTGCCGTGCCAGAATTAATTTAGGACATCTGTTTTATCTCTGATTAATGGAAAATTAGGACAATATCTAGAAAAAAACAGAAATCTTGGAATCAACTTATTAAAATGGGCACAAATACGCTTCGTCTTTGCCGAAATTCTGTATTATTCACGTTGTTTTTATACATGTTACGTGTCTTTTCAAATTCATTTAACTCACAGGAAAGTTTGTTTGTCTGGTAATTTACTACTTTATACTTCACTTAAAATCTGATGTTTCGTGTGTTATTATTCTTTGATAATGTCGGAGTAGGAGAAAAATGGGTAAATCTCTTGGGTCAAATTTCGAAATGCCGAATCGTCACATATATGTTCCGATATAAAGATAATACTGCGCGACAGAATCTGAAGAAATAACGACTGTATACCAGGTTCATTTCCTTGCAGGCAAAACACAAAAATACCTCTAAGAAAATCAAACTACTCGATAGTTTATGTCGAAATATAAGAAAAAAACATATACCTCTCTGGCTGCGATATGTCCTCCATCATGGAAATTCTATACTGTAAACACAATGCGCGATTATGTAACATGTTCCCCACAGTGAAATTAAAGTATATACAAGATTTATTATCTTATGGCTGTGGGAATATAACCATAGGGTTGACACACAATAGTTTAAATAGATAAGAATATTGCTCACGAGTTGAAGTGTATCAGAACTCAAACGCGGGCGATACAGTCCATTAGAATAGCACACTAATTTACTTTTTATTCTTTTGCAATTCACAATAGAAGAAATAAAATATTAAGTTAATTGTCAACAGGACAAAAAGGCTACGCACGTAACCTTATTCATATGCTATCAATTTACTTTAAATGAATAAATAGGGCAAATCTTTAAACAACTCTGGTTGTAACCTCTATATAACATTTTTAAAATCAGAATTCTTAAATTAATGATAATCTTGAAATAGAGATGCTAAAATTATGAACATCGTCATATGATGTGAGTGATGACAATGGACTATTATCTTTAATCTACAGTAGATGTCATTAAAAATAACAAAGAAGAAAAGTGAAAGATAACAATTTTCAAATCTATACAATTTATAGTAAAACGAAGAAATTAAAAACAGTAAAGAACAAATATGACAATTTTCAAATAAGTTTGACTTGTTTGT